TTTATATATATATATTTATATATATATATATATATATGTCATTAGTAGGAAAAAGATTACAGTGGCAACCCCATTAAACACCTTAATTGGCAAGGATCTGTGCCCATGGCTGAGAGCGGCCCTCACGGGACCTGGGCTCACAGCGCTGGCACAGCCGTGCCCACGTGCCTTCCCGAAAACCTGCACGGGGGCAGCCAACACCTTGGAGGCACCGTGGAGGCCTGAGCCACGCGGCAGCCACGGCCACGCGTGGTCACAGCACTCAGGGCGAGACCCGTCCAGCACTGGGCAGGCGTAAGTGGGAAGACACCAGACTAAGACCATAAGGAGTCTCCCCACTGGCTACACACTGAAGTGTCCACTGAGGGTCAGGGGTGTCCCCCCCGGCTCCTCTCTCCACTGACTCCCCTGAGCCGCCCCCCCGGGTGTGGAGAGGCTTGGGGACCAAGCAGCCCCCTCCGTCCCAGAGGCTGACACTGAAGGGGACCTGGTGCGAGAACAAGAATGACCTCTGTCCACAAGACCACCCTTGACCTTGAGAGTTGGTCATTATTACAGTGAGCAACTTCCGCCAGGAGATACCGTCACCCACAACAACCGGAAGCAGGGCTCGGCCCTGGCCAGTGACTCAGCGGTTAGAGCGTCGGCCTCCACGCCCAGCGGTCACAGGTTTGATCCCCGGCTCCGGTCGGGCGCGTGGGAGGCAACCGATGTGTCTCTCACCTCGATGTTTCTCTCTCCCCCCTTCCTGCCTTTCCTTCCACTCTCTCCAAAAAATCAATGGAAAAAAACATCCTCGGCGAAGATTAACAAAAATAAATTCAAATAAAAAAGTAAAAAACAAAGCAGGGTTTAAACCAGCGCTTATCCAGGGACGTCCAGGCAGCACACTCGCAACAGGAACACCACGAGGGGTCTGGGGCCCCAGCTGCTGGGCACGTGGCCCGTGAGGACACGTGTCCCCTGGAGCCCTGGCAGCAAGCCCAGAGCACCCGAGCGAGTGGCCGGCTCCACCTCTGCCTCCTGCTGTCGTTTCACTGGGTCTGAGCCTAGTCCCCGCGAAGAGGGGAGGCTGGTGGGCAGCTGAGAGACGGAGGAACGGACGGTGGGGGGCGGGGGGCTGGGGGCAGGTGGACACTGAGCCCGGCACGGAGCAGGGGCTGACCTGGGGCTCAAGCACCGTCCTCTCTGCGATGTTGGCCTTGAAGGACCTGGTCGAGTAGTAGACAATGAAGCACATGCTGAGGGGCGTCAGGCCCTCGTCCGAGCACTTGTTCACGTCGGCCCCGTTGTCCAGCAGCAGGTTGACGATGTTGGTGTGACAGTGAACCTGGAGGGAGAAGGCCAGTCTCACAAGGACAGCAGGCTCCCCCCGCCGGGCGAGAAGGGCACCCCATGCTCACGCGGAACATGTCTTCCTGGAGCGAGGGCCCTCGCCGGCCTGAGCTCGGAGACAGTGACACCGGCGCTCTCTCGGGGTCGGCAAAGGGACGTCAAACGTGCGACCAGGGCACGTGAAAGTCAGCGGGCCCTCACCCTTCTCTACTGGACTCCACACGTCCCCTTCAGGGACTGGGGGGACTCCTGCAGGGGACCCTGCAGCAGACACAGCCGGGGGGGGCACTCACTGCAGCCGCGGCGAGCACGGTGTAGCCCCGCGCATCGGCCACGTCGGGACTAGCAAGGTTGTCCCTCAGGATCCCAAAAATCCAGTCGTAGTTCCCTTCCTCGGCCTTCAAGATCATCTCCCTGGCAAGCCGCTCCCTGGGCCCACGGCAGGCGAAGCCGCTCCGGTCCCCCTCCAGGATGGCGCCCATGTTCCAGCTGGAGTGCTCCTTCCTGTTCCTGGCAACGCCGGGAGCTTCAGGGGACCCAGTACCTGCCACCCAGAGGGCCGCCCTGGGCCTGGCCCCGCACACTTTCCCTCCTCCTTCCTCTGCTCCAAACTGCCCAACCCGCCTTCCTCCCCTCCCCCCCAGCCCTGGGGCTGCACCACGGGCCAGCTGTGGTCAGCATGGACATGGCACAGCGGTGGAACTTGCTGCCTGCCGGTGAGGACACTTGGGCTAAGTGTCTGTCCTGGGCAGCAATGTCTGCGAGTCCCCCTCGGGCTCCTAATTCATCTGGGTGCGTTGGGGAAGGGAGGCTCTCACAGCAGGGGCCCCGGTTGGGCCAGGGGCCAGGCACACACACATGGGTCTGGCACTCGGCACCAAGCAACCACATCCCACCTCTGCTCTTTCACTTTCCTATCTGAGTAGAGAACATGCAAGTCCCATGGCCCATTCACCACACACACCAAAGCCTGTCAAGGACCTGTGATTTTATGGGAGCTTCTGTACCCAACAGGCACCAACGACAATGGGTGAGCTGATGTTTGCATGATGCATGGAGGGATGCATCAGTGAATCAATGGGTGGGTAAGTGGATGGATATGGATGGATGGACGGACGGATGGATGGATGGATGGATGGATGATAGATGAATGGATGGATGGGTGGACGGATGGATTGATGGATGATGGATGGATGGATGGACAGATGGATGGATGGATGGATGGATGGATGGATGGATGGATGGATGGAGAGATGGATGGATGGATGGACAGATGGATGGACAGATGGATGGATGGACGGACGGACAGATGGATGGATGGATGGATGGATGGATGGATGGATGGATGGATGGACGGATGGATGGACGGATGGACAGATGGATGGATGGACAGATGGATGGATGGACAGATGGATGGCTGGATGGCTGGATGGATGGATGGAGGGATGGATGGATGATGGATGGATGGATGGATGGATGGATGGAGAGATGGATGGATGGATGGATGGATGGGTGGATGGAAGGATGGGTGGATGGACAGATTGATGGATGAGTGCATGGATGGATATGTGGATGGATGAGTAGGTGGGTGGATGGACGAGCGGATGGATGCATAAGTAGCCACTTGTGCTCACAAACACGCATTCTAAAAAAGTTAGAGATATCTGAAGACAAAGTTTAAGAAAGAGATTAAAATATTCTTAAATTTTTTACTTAAGAAATCAGTTTCCCTTCAGTCCTGCTAACTATTCCAGGACTGTGGGGTGCAGGTGTTTTGGGAGACCAGCAGAGCAGCTCCATCTTCTCCTGGCCATAGCTGGAGAAGCCAGAGGCCTGGCCAGCCCCCAGCCCACTCTCCCCTGCTCCCCCACCCTTGGCTCTCTGGCTAGATCCATGTGAAGACATCATGGTAACAACAGTCCCTTCTCTTTCTGTGGACCTTGCGCAGGGTCTTGACCTCTAATCACAGACAGGACCCTGCACAGGTCTGGGGCACTGGCTCCGACCTACACAGAGGAAACTCACTCAAGGTCCCAGCGCCAGGATGGGGCTCAGCTCAGTGGGCTCAGTTTACCCTACTCCATACCCCGTTCCAGGCCCTGGCTCCACTCTCACCAAGCAGCCTCCTGACCACTCCTTCCCCGGAGCAGGCTGGCAGGTCCCCGGGCCCCCACAGCTCTCCCACATGCGGGCGTGTCCCAGCCCACGAGCCCTGGCACCAGCTCTCCCTCCATCAACCTGGCAAATACCCCGGGTGCCAGGGCCACCGGGGCAGCAGGAGCGGGGCTCCCAGCCATCAGGGGAGAACAGCGGTCCCGATTACCTGAACTTGTAAGCTTGCTTCTGGATTTTGACCATCAAAGGGGTCTCATTTTTGATGAACCAGGGTTCTCCGTCCTCAACAAATGGAGGGATGTCGTGCAGGAAGAGCCGGGAGTCCAGGTCCCTGCGGAAAGAGCGGGTGATGGGCATGTGGGTGTTGTCGGTGGAGTAGATGTACAGGTCCGGAGGCAGAATCAGGTCGTCGTTCAGCAGGAAGCGCTTGTAGTCATAGAAAAACGGGTCCCGCTCCTCCTGCAGGTCCCACTGCATGGTCTCCTCCTCGGAGAGGCTGACTCGGGCGGGGCAGTGCCTGAGGAAGCCCGCGAACTCCGGGTAGCTGCGCATGGAGAAGCCGCTGGGTATCTCTGTGCACAGCTTGACCAGGTGCTCCCGGAACCACAGCCCCACGTCCTGGCAGCCGTCGGGGTAGGTCTCAACGCCCGGCCCGAACCGCTCGTCGGCTTTGTACAGCCCCTGTGAAACAAGACCGGGGCAGGGGACTCAGCAGGGCTTTGGGCTCTGCCACCAGTGTCTTTTTTCTTTTTTAAAAATATATCTTTATTGATTTCAGAGAGAAGAATGGAGAAGGAGAAGGAGAGGGAACCATCAGTGATGAGAGAGTCGTCATTGACCGGCTGCCTCCTGCAACCCCGACTCGGTATTGAGCCTGCAGCCCGGGCATGTGCCCTGACCGGGAACCGAACCGCCATCTCCTGGATCCTAGGTCAGTGCTCAAGCACTGAGCCACGCCGGCCGGGCTGCCACCAGTTTCTTAACATCCAAAGAAGAAATGTCCTTGTTCCCCCAACACATAATAATTGAGGCTTCGTATGTCCCAGGTACAGGGACCAAAGCGAACATGTAGACACGGACCCTTCCCTGGAGGACCAGGGGGCCAGGGGTGGCCTTCCCGAGAAGGTGCAGACGCGACCCGGGGTCTCAAGGTGGAAGAGTGTGTGGGGTACCAAGAGGGGCTCATTTCAGGGAACCCCCTGCAGCGCTAACACCGGGGACCCAGCCGGGTTCCCCAGCAGTACGTGGGCAGAGGCGCCAGGCCCCGGGTCAGACGGACCAGCAGGTGTGACTGTGGAGGAGCCGATCGGTGCCGCCCCTGAACCTGGGAAACCGCAGCAATTCCAGGGCCCTTCTGGATGCTCCCACCAGGTGCGGAGACGGACGAGCCAGGAGGAACCAAAGAGAAACAAAGAGGGACAACGCAGCCCCCGGACAAGGGAACCTGAGGCCAGAGCTCCCTGCAGGGAGCACAAAGAAAGGCCCAGCCCCCAGGGACCTGCTCTTTCCTGCGATGGCGCTGAAGGACGCCTGGAGGTCGTCGGAGGGCAGAGGAAGCCACCTGGGCCTGAACAGTGGGACACACGTGTCACTCCGAGGGTGCCCTCATCTGGGATCAACCCGTGGCTCCTGTGTCAGTTCTCCACCTGTTCAGGCCCATCTGAGCAGCTCCGACGGCAGGCCCGGGGCTGGGCGCCCCAGATATAAGGCTGCGTGATGCCCGGCCTGCCCATAAGGTGACCCCAGTCTACAACAGGTGGCAGGAATGGCAGGAAGGACCACACAGTCTGAGGGTGACTTCTTCACACACAGGGGTTGGGGCAGGGGCCAGGGCGTTTCTAGAAGCATCCGTGGCACCGGGACACAGTCCGAGCTGGAGTCTGTGAAAGGGGCTGGGTGGGGCGGGAGGGAAGACGGGGTGCGGAGGCAGGCGAGGCGGCTGGCGCAGCAGGGGACCTGGAGGGTCACTGGGCAGGTGTCTCCGCAAGAGCGATGCCCTCGGAGGAAAGACTGGACGCAGGGCAAGGAAAGGGGGCGAGGGGGGCAGTGGCTGCAGATCCACGCAGAGTCCGAGGCGCAGCACCCCTGATCCAGGGGCTCCAGGTCTGGGGGTTTTTATGAAGAAATAACCTGTCATCAGAGCTATAGTCACAAGTGTGGCCACACAGCTCACAATGCCGCTAATCACCCGACGGTTAAATTAAGAGGTATGTCCGCAGATGCAACCTCCTGAAGGATTTTAATTTTCAGTTTTTGGGGTGTGTGTTGTCAACCGATGGTCACTGGCACCAGTTCGGGGCCAACAGGAATCTTCAATTTGGGGTGCGGTGAGAAAGGACACTTTATTCCGTGCAGAGCAGCTCAAGTGTGATTCAGCCCAGCTGCGGGCTCTGCGCCAGCGAGATTTCTCCCCCTTCCCCGTTTCGGCCCAGCCAGGGAGACGCTCGCTTAGGCGGGAAGGGAAAGTGTGCCGCCCGAGCCAGAGGGCAGCCGATGGCACAGACCGAAGTCCCCGCCCCTCCCCGCCGGGCCTGACCTCCCGCAGTGAGGACTCCAGATCCTTGCAGGTTGATCGGTCCAGAGGCACTTTCTTGAGTGGTCAGAACGGGGCTGCTCTGGCTGCTTGGTGAAGAGGCTGAGGGGTCGATGGGGGAGCCTGGACGCCGCTGGCTGACACGGGCTCCAGGAGCTCGGGTACCAGGCCGCTCCGGGGGCAGCAGCAGCGCAGGCAGGCGGTTCGGCGCAGGACTTCCCCTGAAGCGGTTTGCATGAGAGGCCCCTGTGCAGAAACGGCTGCTAAGCCTCGTTTTTGTTTATTTGTTCGTGTGGGGTTTTTGTTTGTTTGTTTTTTATTTATTCGAGCCCAGTTAGCTACCAGGAGCCCTTCGTAATAGGTATCTTCTTTCTCAGGGTCCACAGTATTCGCTTTTGAGCAAACAACTTCAGTCCTCGGAAAGCTTCCCGGCAAACACGGCAGGGCCTGAGCGCAGGCCGCGGCCACGGTGCTGTCTGGGGGCCCTGCTGCCTCCGTCCCCAGAGACCGCAGGGAATGAAGGAGAGTGCGCTGCCCCAGGGAGGTGGGAGGAATGTGTGTGCACATCTGCTCAACGTCTGTAGATGCGAAGATAAAACTATAAGACATCAGCAATGACAAGGGAGGGCTCAGGATGTTAGAGAAACGGGTGGAAGGGGACTCCTCTGGGTGGATCCTACATTTGACTAGGAAATATCCAATTTGTACATAAGTAGAAAACTAAATGAGAGCTAGATTTTATGGATAGACTCTTAAACCATGAAAGCAGAATCGCACAAGGGGCTGTGGCTCTATATCCAGCGGCGGGTTGGCCCGAGAGAGGAGCCGTTTCCTGTGATTTGACCCCAGATCCCTGGTGGGACGGGACGGTTGGCCAGGGAGTCCTGAACTGTGTTCGCAAACCATGACGGTGGTAACGATGCTGAGTTGCTACTGTGAAACTATTACACATAAAGTATGAGACAAAGCAAATGAGTAATTTCGTTAACAGAAACCGAGATCGTTAGGACTAAGAGAAAAGTAGGCGGACACAGAGGTATCGCTGTGAGTGGAAGCCCTGCCTTCCCGCACCGGGGCTGGAGAGAGAAATCAGAGGAACAGGTGACGTCTTTGCTTATCAAGAGATGTATTTCCAGCCCAGCCGGTGTGGCTCAGTGAGTTGAGAGTCCTGCGCACCAAGAGGTCGCGCGTTTGATTCCTGGTCAGGGCGCACGCCCGGGTTGCGGGCTCGATCCCCAGCGGGGGGCCTGCGGGAGGCAGCCCATCGATGTTTCTCTCTCTCTCTCCCTAAAATCAGTAAGAACATATTTTAAAAAAAGAAATGTATTTCTAGATCTGCTACTGAAAAGCCCTAAAAATAACAACCACCCAACAAGGCAGCAACGAGCACCCAGCCCGGTGCTTAAACACTGTCCCACTAAAGAGACCAGGCTCCCCAGGCAGACAGCGGATTCTGGTCAGGGCGGGCGCATGAAGGGGCCTGGAAGACGAGAGAATGACCGGAACCTGCTAGAGCTGTTTCAAAATCAAAAGAGCTAAACCACAGAGGCTCTACCTGACCGAAGGCAGGACAACCTGAGTGTCAAGTAGCAATAACAGCGGCAAGACATGAAATACATCAACTGTGTTAAAACCCATGAGTTTACAAAGATGCTAAAAAAAAAATGAACCATGGTCGGCCGCCACGGGAGGGTGTTAGGAAATCAATTCATTATTCTGAAACCTGAACGGGAGCCCCCCCTTCACCGGCACCCACGGGGCCCCCCCTCACCTGGAAGAGCTTTGTCTTCATGTACAGGGTGCCGTAGCCTTCTCGGAAGCTGAGATAAAACATGCCCGTGAAACGGGAGCCATCGGGCCACTCGTAGGTGCCGAAGCCGTGGCGGTGGTCCCGATAAAACTGCCCGTGGTAGGACTGTGGGCAGAGAGCTCTGTGACGGGCGTGTCTGAGACGCTGCCCCCCACCACCCAGAACCTCACAGGGCCCCTCTGGGCTGAGCCACCATGAATGGGCACCGTCAGGGTTGACCACTCGTGGGGTGCCTGGCCACAGGGTCCCCTTCGAGTCTGGGTGGCCAACGTGACAGAGCTCGGCACCCAAATCATGCAGAGGGGGTGCCAAGCGGTCAGACACCCCCTAGGGCCACCCTCCCTCCTGCCTGTCTCAGGTGGGGGCGTTGGGGGAGGTCTTGGAACTGCCCGGACACCCTGAGTCAGGAAGGGAAAGGCCACAATGGGGTCAGCGCCCACCCTGGGTTTGGGCAGAACCTGTCCCCCTCCGCAGCTCTGGCCTGGGCTCCGCTCTTATCCTGTCCCACCCCCACTCAGGTTCACGGACAGCAGGCTGGCCCAGGGCATGGGGGGTGCTGCCAGCCTCCAGGTCACCTGTGCGGCCCTGGGGGGAGGGCTGTGGGCTCTGGCTAGGAACACGGGTGTGGCTCTGATTTAAAACACCTCGAGCAGGAACCACGAGGTCACCGGTTAGACTCCCAGTCAGGGCACCTGCCCAGGTTTCGGGCTTGACCCCCAGTGGGGGGCGTTTCTCTCTCGTTGATGTTTCTGTCTCACTATCGCTCTCCCTCCCTCTCTCTCTAAAAATCAATTAAAAAAAAAAAAAAAAGAGCTGGTACTTTGCAAGGTGCTTTTTCTTTTAAAAAAAAGCGCTTGCAGGAGGCAACCAACCGGTGTGTCTCTCTCTCTACCTCTCCCTCCCCCCCTTCCACTCTCTCTGAAAAGCAATGGAAAAAACATCCTCAAGTGAGAATTAACCAAAAAACTCCCCGATATTGAGGCCCTGGCTGTGGGCCCCGGTCTGTTAGGGGTGGGGCTGTTGGAGACTGCGCCTCCCGGGGGCCCTGGGAGGAAGGGAGAAGGCGATGTCCGATGGCCAGGCTGGGCCGCCCGGTGTGTCAGGTGCCGCCTTCGGCACCAGAGGTGTCTGGACAGCACCCGGTCGCCTGTCCGTGCTCCACATGGAGGGGACACTCCTGTGCCTTCTCTTTCCTCTGGCAATTGAGATGGCTCCCCACCTGTTTTCCCTGGACTGACCCTACCCCCGGCCCCGCACATGTGACCATGCCTGACCAGCCAGAGGACTCCTGATCCCCAGCCCCCGCCTTGATTTGGGTTTGGCCACAGGACCAGTCCCCAAGCCAGACCAGGCCCCTGCTGTCCCTTCACAGGCGGAACCTGGCCGTGGGAGGACAGGTGGATGCACCCAAGCCTGCGATCACCGCGAAGGCGCAGTCCCGCCCCGGGCACCATGATGTCAGGTAAAAGAAAAACCAGCCGAGGGCTAAGAAACAAATCTGACAAGAGTCAGCGCTCCAGCCAGGAACGTCCCAGGGACCCCACGCCTGGGCAGAAGCTCAGCACCGGTTCAGTTCCCTGCCCGCCTGCCTCCGTCCTGGTCACAGGTCTGGAGGCTCCGCAGAGCTCGGGGCACGTTCCAGGCATCTCTCAGGCAGGAAGGACGTTAGCCTGGCCACCCTCCCGTTGCTGGACCTGCGAGTTCACGTCGCACCCCCCTCAGGAGGAGAGAGATGGGCCCTGGTGGCCGAGCCCCGGGGGAGGAGGGGAGGAAGCACCGGGAGCCAGTTACCTCGCCCGTAGGCCACGAGAATTCTCCATACCCCAGCTTCATGTCCAGCCCGAAATGCCCCTGGTAGACGCAGCCGTCCTGCCACTCCTGCACGCCGTGGACCAGCTGGATGTAGGCCTCCTTCAGGTCCTGCTCCCTCAGGGGGCCCTGGAACTCCTCCTCCTCCTCAGGGGCCTCCAGACCCTTCCTGGGGGTGTGAAGGGCAGCGAGAGGAAAGAACCAAGCTGGCCGGAGCTCTCAAGAGTGACCGAGTGCCAAGAACCCCACCGCACAGCACCGCACCTCCCAACAGCCCCGGGGCAGAGGCCGTCCATGTCCTCGTGGTCCAGAAAGGGAAACAGGCAGTGGGAAGCGCAGCAGGGCTGTCCATCATGGTAAAGGGGGTGCCCCGGGGGCAGCGGGCTGACAGCTGCCCTGCACCAGCTGTCCGTTGGATGAGCCTTGTCTCCACCACCCGCCTGAGTGCCCCCTGCAGGGTCTTCCCTCGGGAGCAGCAGCGCCCACCCAGAGCTGGGCAGACACTCGCGGTCGGTGACCAGGCTAAACAAGGAGGGGGAGCTTCGGGGGGAGAGATGACCCGAGAGCAGCTGGAAGGGCAGTAAGGGACGCGTAGGAGGAAGGAGGGACGCAGGGGTGGGTGGACGCCTGGCAGGGGCAGAGGACGTGTGCTGGGGTGGGCTCGCCTGTTTCCTGCTCCCGCCATCTAAAAGTTCAGTCCTGACTCAAACGTGGGCCCAGCCTTGCCCAGCACACACAGCCTCGCCCCTCCCCCCTCTCAAGGCCTCTCCAGGGAACGCTGCACCTGGGCACACAGCGTGTGAACACTCAGACTCCGGGCCCCCGCCATCAGATGGCCCTCAAATGCCAGCCGCGAGTGAGCCACAGAGGCCTAAATCCCCTGCCCAACAAAGAGGGTCCCAACTGCTACAGACTCAAGGGTCCCTGTTCCATATTGTTGCACGTCCGTAGGAAGGAGTCAAGGACAGACACCCACCTGCAACAGTGATGAAATCTGGGCCTCAGATATGCTTTGTGTATATATATATATATATTTGCTTACTTGTGGTTTTGGGTTGAATTGGGCCCCCATGCCCCAAAATTCGTATGTTGGGGTCCTACCCCTCCAGAACCTTACAATATGACTCTATGTGGACCCTAATCCAAGGTGACCAGGCCGGGCTCAGTCACCCATTGTGGCAACTTCCCTCCGGGCTGTTGATACAATGTTGAGGTTTCTCTCTCCAGGAACTAGTGTTTCCAGGGATAATATACCTTCTAGCGATGTCTTAACGCCTGTCCCAAGGCTGGATCCCAGCTAAGCCGGGCGGTCGGGGTCAGAGTCAGACCCCCGCGGGAGGCCCCGCACCTTTTGGGGAGCAGCGTGGAGCTCTCCAGGGTCCCCGGGTCCTCGGAGGCCGCCGGCTCGCTGCCCTGCCCCTCCGGCTGGTCGTCGTCTGGGACTCGGACAGGTAAGTCTGAGGAGCCCCCGCCCTCCATGTCTAGCGTCCTGGGACCTGCAGGCAGAGCCGGAGACGCGCGTTAGCTCAGGGCCAGGGGGCCCCGCGGGCCACAGCCCCGC